TAGTTGAGGCTCCTATCTTATTTGTGAAGAAAAAAGACAAATCTGTACGGATGTATGTAGAATATTGAGGATTCAACAAGATCACTATTAAAAATAGGTATCCTCTATCTTTGTTTTAAAGACTTTTTAATCAACTCAATCAAGCAAAGATCTATATAAAAATAGATCTATAAGGAGCATATAATCTGGTATGCATTAAAGAAGGAGATAAATAGAAAATTGCATTTTGAATCAAGTATGGATATTTTGAATATAATGTCATGCCTTTTGGACTCACAAATGCACCAATTGCATTTCAACATCTAATGAATGATGTCTTTTGTGAATTTCTTGATACTTTGGTTATTTATTATTTGAACGACATCTTAATCTATTCTAAGAATATAAAAGAGTATAGAGTTCATATTCATTGTGTATTACAAAAATTTAAAGATGCAAGATTATATACTAAGTTAAAAAAATGTATATTCCTCACTACTCAAGTTGACTTCTTAGGATATATTATTTTCAACAAAATTCTAATAATACATCCAAAAAAGGTCCAAACTATCACGGATTGAAAGATTATAAAAATAATAAGAAACATGTAATGATTTTTAGGCTTTATTAATTACTATTGGATTTTCATTAAGAATTTTTTTTAAATTGCAGCTCTACGTACAAGTTTGACTTGTAAAGACAAATTTGAGTAGAAAAAAGAAACCAAAACATAGTTTGATGCTTAAAAAAATGAATTTATTTCTACATCAATCTTATATTGTGTTAACTTCTCTAAAGATTTTTTTATGAAAAAAAATGGATAAGACTTTGCCTTGGGTGCAATATTATCAGAAATGGGAGCAAATAACAAACTTCATCAAGTAGCTTTCTATTCCAAAACATTTCAAAAACCAAGATTAGTTTTGAGATCTACAACAAAGAGCTCTTTGCAATTGTAGATTTATTTTTAAAATGGCATTATTATTTAGAAGGCACCTCAAGTCTAATGACTTTGTATATAAATCACAAGAATCCTAAGTATTTCATATTGGCATATATTTTGAATTGTTGCCAAGTTTGTTCGAGCATGTCTTTATCAAGATTTGATTTCAAGAACATTTATCAATCTAAAAAATAATAAGGTTTGTTGGACACCCTTTCTAGATATTCTTATCTTATACTAATAGAAAGAGATGCATCTTTTAATCAACAAAGAACAATTCTATTAAAATCAAAGTATTTTCACCTTTGAGTAATAAAATCAACATTCATTGTTGATTCAATATTTGTCAAGTAAATTCAATGAAATATATCCTCTAATCTTCTTGTCCATGATATCAAGAATAATTCTTCTAAATCTCATGATACTTCGAAGTTCAAGTTTAAAAACAATCTACTCTATTTCAGGGGACAATTATGTATTCTAAAAGATGGGGCATGATTACATATTTTTCAAACTCGTAATGACTTTTTAGCAACCAGACATTTTAGATATAATAAGATTTTGGAGCCAATATCAAGATATTTATAGTGACTTTAAATGTAGAAGGCAATCAATGACTTTGTACAATCATGTGATAATTGTTCAAAATCCAAAACTCCTTGCCAATGACCTTATGGACTTCTTTAGCGATTATCTATTCTAGAACAATCATGGTCTTTTGTTTCTATAGATTTTACCATGGAACTTTCAATCTCAGGCTTATATGACTCTATATTTGTGGTAGTAGACTATTTTATTAAGATGATATATTTTGTTTTATATGCAAATTGTATCGCAGGTGAAGAAACAACTAATTTTTTTTTAATAACATCTATTGCTATCACGGATCGCTTAAAGATATTATATCGGATAAGAGGAATCAATTTATATCAAGATTTTAAAGAACCTTTTTTAAGATTTTAAAGGTAGATATAAAGCTTTCTTTGGCTTTTTATCTTCAAACTGATATGCAAATAGAATGGATGAATTAAGTTTTAGACAATACTTGAGGTGTACCATTAACTATTATTAAGATAATTTGATAATTCTTTTATCATTGATAGAGTTTGCATACAATAATTTGGTATATTCTTTCACTTAACAAACATATTTCTTTACCAATTATGATTATCATCTAAGACTTGATACTTTTGACTTTTCAAAAGTTGATAATCTTGTAGCAAAAGATTTAACAAATCATTTGTTAAAGCTACATGCAACAATGAAGGTGTACTTAAAAGGAGTTCAAGAATAAAAAATGATTAATAAAGATGCCTATTGCAAGGAAAAACTAAAATTCAATATAGGTGATAAAGTATGATTACTTTGTTGTAATATCAAGACTACTTGTCATTGTGACAAGTTGGACTATTATAGGCTTGGATCTTTTCTTATTAGTGAATAATTCAATCTTGTTGCTTATTGATTTTATCTATTGGAGTCTATAAAGATCCATCTCATATTTTAGATGTCTTTTTTTAAACCATATAAGATAGTGAATATTTCAAAAATAAGATAAATGTCACTTCTTTTTATAAAAGTAGATAATAATCAAGAATTTGAGGTAGAAGAAGTCTTAGATACAAGGTGGCACCAAAATAGGTTAGAATATCTTAATCATTGGCATAGATATGATATTAGTGAATGCATATAGAATCGAGCAAAGAATCTTACAAATACAATAAAGAAAGTTGAAGCTTTTTATTGACAACATCTATAAAAACCAAGATGAAGACTAGCAAATATTTGTTATATAAGAAACAAGATTCAAGAAAGTTATAAAGACCTCAACAATGATCAAATAACATGGTGGTCTTTTCATCTTGATATGGAATACTATTGACGATTGAGAGGATCTATCAAACATCTTCAAAGAAAACAAAGATCAAAATATATGGCAAATATAATTCATTGCATCTTGGATTTCATCAGTACCTGATGAATACTCCTTGTCGAACTCGTTCCTTGAAGAGAAGATAATGTCACGGATATATATACGTACTCTAATAAATATCTATATGATTAAATAGAAGTAAGTATAAGTAGATAAAAATAGATTAATTTCATATTATCTTTTAGAAAAGCTTCCTAGAAGCTTTATAGATGATGCTTTGATTTTACATGTATTTATAATTGATTTGTAGGTTAGAAATTTAGTCAACAAATTAACCATGTTAGCAGCTTGTAGAACAAGTTAACTATATAGTATACATAGAGAAAACTTGCTTTATAAGTTAAAATATGTATCTTATAAAGTCAACAAGTTTTGGAGGACCTATAAGATATTGCTACATAGCTCCTAGTTAACAGTATATATGGTGGCAAGAGTGAAGCCTTCTTTATTCTTATCAACACCTTTACAGTCCTTTGTCTTGTTTTAAGACATTCTAGACTTCTTATTTTAGGCAATAACCATTCTAGTTCAATATTATATCAGCTTTAAATGACTTTCTAGTTCTTTTCAGTGACAGAAGAGTATATCAAGGATTTCTTTCTTTGAGATTTATGTCTTTGATATCATACCTAAGAAAAAATATATTAAAAATAAAATAAAATTGAGATATAGCTTTCAAAATCAAGATAAAGATTTTATAGCCTTAAAAACATAGAGTACCTTATTTGTAATTAAATTAGTAATTTTATTCTTTAATCACTCTCAACTATATTTATAAGACTTCTTACAAGTCTTATACTCTATTTAAACCTCCTTTATAAGCTTTGCCACTCTTTAATTACATCTAGTTTCAAAAAATACTTCTTCTTAATATAAAAAGATCTTTTAAGAACTTTAGTACATAAAAGCACAATGTTAGTGCATCAATAATGTAACTCAACAAAAAAAATACAATATTAATATTCTAAAACATCATTCTAAGGTTTCTAACAACCTCCCATATCATGTATGTATTTAACAATAAGTAAGAAAAAACCTATATTAACAACTAGATGTAAAAAGTGATGTTAAAAGATATCAAATATTAATATCAACAACAACCATAAGATCTATTACTCACAACAAGAAAGTCTTCAAAGAAATTCAAAATTCACAAGTAAAGGTGAATGTGTCTATAACCTATTGAAGAAAGAGAACTTTGAAGTCATAACACATAGCTTCTACAAGGTGCATATAAAGAAAGTATATAATAAGTTAACTCTTACTTCCAATATTTGTTACTTATATGTGATATTTAATGCCTTAATGAATAATTTCTATCTTTTGATGAATACATCCATTCAAGATTCTACCAAGACTATCTAGTGGTATCGTATCTATCATAAGAATATGCCTTTAGTAGATCTTTTATACTCCTAAGATCATTTGTCTATTCATCTACCTTGTCTCTTAGTCTTACTACATTCCAAAAGCCAATTTTTTGATCATTAGCAACTGACCTAAAATAATATCTTCTATAAAGTAAGTTATTATACTTTTACTTTTATTTACTTATTTTAACATCCATGGATCACAATCAAATACTACAAATTGAGGAACATCATCAAATTCGCTCACTTGAGCTAGACAATTCCATTGTGAAATTAGTGCCTCCATCCCATCTTCATCAATAGATGTCATTATACTTTCTGATTGCGATAAGGGATCCACTAATTGTGGATGCCAATTTTTGATCAAACTCACTATTATACCAAAATAGTTAAAATTGAAGATCCTTCACAATGTGAGTTTGATGTTGACATGAAGTTGGGTAGATTGAAACAAAAATAAAAATAAAAATGTAAGGAACGACGTTGAATCTGCCCAATTCCCAAAACCAAATCATGTCGATGACACTTTACTACACACGGGAGGGATTTTTGGGAAATGTGAAAGGAAGAGCAGAAGTTTTGTTATTCTCAAAAAAGTCTGAGTGGGCCCCTTCTTCAAGATAAATTGGTAAACACCCTGCGACGCTGGAAGTGTGAATATTGCCAAGTGGACAGTTAGTGATATGGGCCCTTAGTTTCAGACCCAGGCAGAGACCGAATACACCAAAGCGGACAGACGTCCGCCATATTTATCCCACGATCGCCGAGCTTTTCAGTTTCCGCTGTTTCTTTCTTTACTCTGCCGGGGCGTGTGCTTTTATTATTATTTTTATTTTCCCCTTCCACCATGACCTGCTTGCCTTCATCGTGCGATTTGCTGCTCGTGATATTAGCAAATCCGAAGCCCCCACCACTTTCGTTGTGGCCTTTGTCTTAAGTTTTCCTTCTCTGCCCTTGAACTCCCTTCCTTGCAGCTCCATCACTTCGGTCAAACCTGGTTGCGGCGCGCTGGTCTACTCCGTTCGTTCCGCTACTCTCTCACTCCACAATGCGCGACATTGCTATTTCGGTCTCCTTCTCTCTCTCTCTTTTGTGTGGAGTTAGCGGATGTAGCCAGCCAGAGAGGTGGAAGTATGTAAGCGTGGCAAATGATGAATGCGGGAGGGTAGTCTTTGTGTAAGGTAACGCAACGCTCGTCTTCGAGCCCCACAGGCGGGGTTTATGGATGTGTAGGGGTTTATGATCTTATTGTGTTGACGGATCTTGTTTTTCGGATCTTTGGGGTTTAATGTGGCAGGTGGAGGAGGACGTGATGCCGATAGAGTGGTGCTGTACTAGGATGGGGTTGGTGCTTCGATTGGTTGAACTTGCCGTTGGTTTTTTGGTGTTTCTTCACTAGATTTGGATGAGGGGTGCACAGGTTTGTAATTGTGCGCCGCGAGTGTGGCGTATAATCCAAGACGTGGGTCGAGATGTTCGAGGTTCTTTGTAGAGGATGTGATGGGTCTGTGTTCGGACTGGATCATTGTTTACGCTGAGGTATCCGAATTGATGAAGAGAATACTTTGTGCCGGTTGATCGCACTTCACGAAATTAGACTGGGTGCTGATTAACTTGACAATGTGAATAAGTGGTTAATCTACCCGCTGATTTTCTACAGTCCCTGTGTCGAAAGCTGCTCGCCTGCCGAGAGTAAGCAGTGATAGAGTATACCGAGGTCACTTAATGTTTTGGTGATGGGGTGTGGGTGCGGAAAAGTGTTTACCTTGAAGAATGCAGTGATGTTGTTGGTAGATTACGAATTGAGTGACTCGTTAAGATCGCCGAACTAAGTCTCCGAAGCCTTGCATCATTCAATTCTACGATGCTGAGCTGTACGTTTCGCGGGCTCTTTCCTCCGTTTCTACAAGCTCCTCAGTCGAACTTGACAGGTTGAAGCATTGCAGTGTTCAAGAGATGTTCGTCCAGAGCAGGCTCTCGAGATTGGGTATGCTTTCTGGAATTACGATTCATTAGAATAGTGTGATATATTAATTTTTTGCAACGATCATTCGAGCTAGTTAGAGAAAGACCTTGCCACATTGTTAGTCTATGTCTCATAGCCCTGTTGACCTGGGATTATTTTATAAGCATGCGATTTATCAAATTTTCCCTCTGAGTGTATGTCTTCTGTTCTTGATTGAATGTTTTGAAGTGCCCTTGCAGATGCGCGAATTTGGACTCCGTGTCGATCATTGCGTAGTATCACAAAGTACAGATTGCAAAGTTACTTGGTCATGGGACGGTTGTAGGAAATTTAAATTTCTGACCAGCTTTCTTAGCTGCCAGGATAAGCGAATGATAATTTCCAGGACTAAACCAGCTTTTGCTAGGATCTACTAGAGGGCTATGACAGGGATCCTTCAGATATTCGACCGTTATAAGACGAAGCCGTACGCTAAGAATGAAAGCAGAAGGAGCAAAACCGGTGGGCCTTCAATTCATGAATTGCCAATCTTTGGATTCCGGGAAACTATGTCAAGTGCTATGCTGGAGCACACCGTAGCCATTTCAACTCTTTGAACTGAATTTATGTCTTCGCAATGGTGGTCACATTACATTTTAAAATCTAAAGATCCTTTTTCTCAATCTATTTGTTGGTCAGTCAAATTGAGTTTGTCTATTTTGAACTGCAGGGGAGTCCGTGATTAAAACAGTGCCAAAACACTACTTGGCAAGTTCTCCTACATTTTCCAGCTTTCATTTAGTGCAGAAGATTTTGCTTCGTAGAAATGTGTTTAAACCTCGTGATACCGACTGTTTAATCGCTACATTTACGATTACACTGCTTCTCGGTCTTTTAAGCGTTGATACATACGAACGCATGCAGGTTGAGGGAGATGCTGTGGTAAGAAGAGCACCTTCTGATCAGGCATGGTCAGAAGTTTCACGGGACTCTCATTGGTCCTCCTCTGCCGACATCACCGAGGTCATGGTTAAGACTTCGGCGTCCTCAAACGGACCTTATAACGTGCAGAAATCTGATCCAACTGCTCGTCCATCTATTGACTTTCCAAAGCCAAGATTCTCCACTCAAATTCCCTGCCCACCTGGTGCCATGCAGGATGACGGTTTTGGTTTCAAGGAATCGTCTAAAAACCCCGAGAGCTACACATCCGACGCTGGAGTGCTGAAGTTCTCTATGCCGTCCAGTAGCTCTGTGAGTCACAGAAGCAAAGTTAGACTTAAGCCCCCATCTCGGGACTTGCGGAATGCATCTAAATCCTCAGCTCATTTGGATGCTTTGAGGACGACGATGGAGACGATTGCGCATCTCGATGATGCCAGTGACATTTCTCGCGCGGTTTCGCAGACGTGGGAGCTAGTTCGTCCATCGTTTAATGCCACAGAGCGTCTCCGACATGCGCCTCCTGATACGAGGAGAGACTCGCAACGGTACCATCGCTCTGGTGACGAGCGGGAAGGTGCCAGGTACCATAGGGATGGTCACCATTACCAATCTTCTGGTGATGAGAAGGATAGTCATCAGCGTATGTCAGCGAATGATTCCAAAGAGGCTCAGAAGTACTCCTTAGTTACTGCGGGTTATAGGGAGCAAGTATTTGACGATGTAATGGACCACCATAGACCCGAGTTCCCCTCTGAGGCAAAAGAATTCTTACATTCATGGCATGTTAACGAAGGGTGCAAGGATCAAGCATCAAATCTTGTGAAGGAACCTGTCATATATACGTCTTCTGGTAATGAAATGGATAATCGGGGAACGACCATCTTATTTGGGAGTGGACGGAGAGTTCGAAAGTTGCACGAATACAATGTACGCAGGGATAGTCGTAGACATCGTTCCTCTCCTGACCCAGAAAGTAACAGAAGCTATTGGCCTGTCGATACCAGGGATATCCAGAGACATCAGTCTGCAAGTGACTCTTGCAAGGCATCGACTGGTGACGAGAAATTTGTGCAGAGACCCTTCTCTTCTACTCGAAGACGTCGTTCTCTTACATTAGCTAATGAAAAGGGGCACAAATATTCACCATCAAATGAAAGAGGCGAAGGACGAAGACAACATGCTCACGATGCTGGGAGAGAAAGTCAATGTATGCACTCTTCTGGACACAACAGGGGTGGCCGTAGATCCACGGCTTCGAAGGACACTTGTCGTGACCGTTCTTCCGCGAACAGTTCAGGTTACAAGCATCAGTCTGGAGCAGACCCAAATGAGCACCAAAAGTACCAGTCTGCTGGAGAAGTGAAATCTGGATATAAGAAACATATGCCCACTGCCAGGGGCTCCAATTATCAACCTCGTACTGGTGTATTTACAGGTCGCCGTTACCCGTCCTCAGGTGTTTGTAATGAAGCTCACAGGATATTTGCGTCCGCTAGAGAGAGAGAAGATTTTGAAGGGCACGATCCTTCTGTTCGTACCTTCAACGGTTGGAGGAATGAGTCTTCCGATGAAGACAGGGAGGTGTTTCTGCAGCACATCCACCCTATTGCTCGGGATGACCTTAGAAGTTATTCATCTATTGCAGATGCACACAGGAGGTTATCACTAGGCAATTATGACAGGCATAAGAGATACAGTTCCTCAAATGACGAGAGGCGGCGAGACAGGAGTCGGTCATCTGTCAAACATGGTCGTAAACTTGAGTCTACCCTTGACTCAGGGGGAGCTTCTGGAGAGTATGGACACCTTCGTCCCATTGATAGAGCCGTAGAATGGGTCGCTGGTGAAGCCAATGTTGCTCGTAGTCTCCTGGTACCTGTTGCAATGAAGGAGGTACGTAGAAGAAGCTCTTCTGTAGATTCGAGAGGAGAGCGTCGACATCGAGACTCAAACTCATCTGTAGCATTTCTGGAGCCTGCCAAGTTCCGGTTGTCTGTCGATAATGGGATGTCAAATTCTAAAGACGAAGAATTTTCTTCTGGCTTCAGCAGGGATCTGCCACCCAGGTCTTCTGCTAGGGATCTGCCTCCCAGGTCACCGAGGGATCTAGTCGACAGTAGAGACTTAAGGAGATTGAACGTGCAGGTTAAGGAAAATTCTCATTCGTCTTTTCTTAGAGATAGCTACCATGGGGAGCTCGGTAAGTCTGCAATGTTCCCTGAGCAATCCCAACTATCTTCTGGGAGTGTCACAGGTTCTCACGATTTCAGGGAGATTCTTAGAGCTTTAGACTTTAAGGACTCCCTGTGGGGTGCTGAGAAGTTGCGGGACGTGTCGTCACGGAATTCCACTGATGGTAGAGATCCACCTCGCACATCGAACGTATCTCGGGTTTCTGTTGACAGTCGCCAGTACCAATCAAGTACACCCCGTCTCTCTGTGGACGGTAGGGAGCATTTGCGTGCTAGTAGTCTTCATTCTTCGAGGGCAACTTCAGTGGATGCACAGGTTCAGCACAGAACTAACTCGATGGATAGTAGTGCGTCAGGAGAGTTTAATAGGCGAGGGCCTGGTGTGATTGCTCGGCTGATGGGCGTAGCGGAACTTCCAGTCAAAGGTACTCCACTTTCAGGTTCAGATAAGGCTCAGATTCGGGAAGGAAAGTCTTTGCAGAAGTTGCTTAATAAAACTCCCTCATCCGAAGCCACTTCTCCGCCCACAGATCGGGGCAGATTACAGCTTCATCTCACTGAGGTGGCTCAACAGATGAAGCAAGTCGCAGCTCGACTTCACCAAGACTCACAACTTCGCCAGAAATCTATGCAAGCCTCGCTATGGATACGTCCCAAGAGGAAGTCGAAAACCAAATCGAAGATGCAGTCACGGTCGAGGTCTCCGCCACCCGCCCCTGCTCCAGCACATGAAGCGGACACACAGAGTTTGAACCAGCATCAGGGCAATGGTATCTTTGGACGTCAGGCAGACCCTGGAAGTCCCCTACCCCGGCAACCCATGTCACCTAAACACCACCAAATGGAAGGAATGCCCAAAGTATTCAACAAACGACCTCAGGAATTTCTCTCTGGAGATTTTGACCATAGACTGCATCAGCTCCGCATTAAGAACTCGATTCAGGAGCATAGAACCCTTAAGCAGATTCTGGAAGCCATGCATCTGAAGGGATTGCTTCATCCGCCTCAGAGGAAGCCTCCTAAATCACCTAGGGAAGTACTTCACGGGCAAGGGTATTTAAGAGAGGAAGAACAGCGACCGTTGCAAAATTTTACTTCCTCAAGATTGAGCGAGGTGGCAAGAACAAATCGCAAGGATTTCCAGGAGCAGTTGACTTTCGAAGACCTAATTCGGATCGATTCCCACGGACAGGAAGAACCAACACTTGACAATGATCATTCAGGAGAAGCTTCAATTGTATTGATGAAGCCTGTAAATTACCGTTCCAGCAGGCTTAATACCCTCCCCGCTGCAATTAAAGAAGTTGATTCCAACTCTGAAATATCGGGTCTTGCTGCATTTGAGAAAGATAATATTGAAATCGGTGACAGGTAATTCTTCATGCTGGAAAGTGTGAACCAAAGATTTAATCCCTGGGTCGGAATGCTTGGTTGAGATTCGAAGACGTTTTTATTGCCGTTGTATTTGAGATTATCTATGTAACCCGAACATATCTATTAAGTTCGAGATCTTTAGAATGTACTTATACTATCATCTTGATGTTCCTCCTGGTTTAAATGCATATACTACGAAGTTAAGGCAGTACTTGGCATGTAAATTTCAGAAGTATCAATGTTGTCGCATTGGAGGATGAAATGGATTTTGTTTTCGTTTTTTATTGTCATTTTGGTTCTGTGTTCAAGTAATGATTTTTATCTACAAGATTCGAGATTTCGCCTGATTTGTAACACGTGGGTTGTAGGGGAAGGGGATCAGAGCGGCGGACTGGCAGCAGTGGTAGAGAATCCAGGTCTCATTCTCTTGAGTCTCTTAATCAAAGATCTGCTGATAAGGAGCAGGTTGAAGATCTAAGTTTTGCCAATGTAATGTTCTCTTGGAGAGAACGCATAGCAGCAGATGCAGCTAAAAAAGCAACGATGGAGCTGGCAGAAACTAAATCACAAACTTTCTCTAAGAGTACACCAGGAAAACATCGGTCTCGAGAAGTGAGCCCCTTACAATACGAAACCAGAGATTCAAACTCAATAGAGAAAAGGGCTGGGAGTAGGAGTCCAAAGGTTGAGGGAAGTCTTGAGGAATCTATTTTCACTAATAGACAGGAGTATAATGTAGCGCAGGAGAATGGTGATCACGAAGAAGACAGGTTTAAAATGGTTGGCTGCAGAAAATCTGATCATCAGCTCTCTGCTTCGACTGCTGAAGCATTGGCTGCTATGGATGCCTCCTCTGATAGCGTCCCAGCTCAAGCTTCAGTTCTTCGACACAAGTTGACATCAGGAAAATCGAGTCGCAGAAAGGATAAACTTAAGGCTTTACATCGTGAAGATCTCCATATAAAACCATCCCCGTCGCCTTCCATAAGCAACCTTGAGACTAGCTACATGACAGGAAAGCCTGATCATAGCTCCCATCTTGATCTCAATGTCCCTCAGGTAATTAACCCAATTTCGGATTCGAAAGCTCCAGGAGAATCTTTGGAGACTCCAGAGGTTAATTCAAGAATAATGCCAAAGAAAAGGAAAACTGCAGAGTCTGTAATCGTGATTGTAGAGAAGTCTCAACTTCCTCCAGGTGTTGCTTCGAAATTTGAGGTGAAGGATTCATCTCATGATGAGGGGGATGACAGTACCCTCGTTGAGAAAAGTAAGATGTCTCAAGATGTCTCTTTTGCAGGTCCCGAACCAGAAGACGCAAAAGATGATAAGGTGACTTCAAGAGATCTAGTTCGCCTCTAATGCTGCAAATAAAAGCTTACTGCGACTATTTGTGACTTTGGATTAGAGAGGCATGATTATTATCAGCTTGAATCGTCCTTTCGTTTTAAAGCTTTACTAAAACATAATCACTGAACTTGGGTGCTGGAATTTGTATTGTAGATGGAAGATCCTTTTAGTGATGGGGTAGAAGTGCGTACCCCCGAAGGCTTTTCTTCCGGAAGAGAAAAATGCCTTTCCGGAGATGGCTCTTTTATCCTCCAGGGGACTGACTTTTATCCAAGTCCAGTATCAGTTCTTGATAGTCCAATGTATCAAGAAGAATTTCAGCTGGAGGAGTTGATTGCAAGTCCCGGCTCTGTCAAATCAAGTATGGCCAAACATGCAGGTATGCTTGCTTTTAATCTCCCTCATGCGTTGCGTGTACGATCTTTAGAATTAAAAGCTCTTCAGATATCATCAACTGTCCTTGTGAGAGCTCCATGTTCTTAAAGAACATCCGATGTGCTCAAGAAACTCATTGATGGCACTGGCGAATTCTTTTACTTTGTCCCGAATTAGTGCGCAATACTTACGCAGTTGGTTAATAGTGTGTCGATTTGTTTTTGCAGATGTCGGGGACATCCCCCAATATGATGCAGTAGGAGTAGAATGTGAAAACGAACCAGAGATTCTAACTTCCCGTTCTCGAGCAAGCAAGGAAATATCTGATCCCCTCAGAGACATATACACTAAATTGGCCTCAACTCTTGAATTGAGTGAGAGAGAAATTTGTCGAGGTCAATTAGATGCAGATCCTCAGATTCTATTCGCGGTAGGTACTAATAAGAAAAATGGAAATGCAACCGAGGTAATATCTGGTGATCGAAGCAAGGGAAAACTATTTGTGCAGAGCATATTAATAGAGTCGGGTTTAACCCAGGAAGACTCTCGCTTTACTGAGGGCGCATCCGAAATTATGCATTTTGGGGTATTCACTACTACGGAAGAGAAGTTGCAGACGAAGGAGTTGCAGTCAATAGACAGGGGGGAACTAGAGAAAAGTGAGGAACTCAGATACAAAGAAAGTCTTGATCGTAGATTAATATTCGACTGCATGAATGAGATCTTAGAGAGGAAGATGAAGCCTTACCTCAATCCGCAGCCATGGGGTATCCCTGTTGTACGAAGGAAGCCTAGTGGCCAGCGTCTCATCGATGAAGTCTGGGATGAATTGAAAGACTTGCATTGGCCAACTACTGCTGACTACGACACTCTCTACGCAGTTCTTCAGAAAGATTTTATGCGGAAGGGATTCCAGTGTCTGGAGTTTAGTGTTGAAGTAGTCGACGTGGGGTGTGAGCTCGAGAGAATAGTTCTTCAGGAACTGGTCGAGGAAGTTGTGCAAGATTTAATCTCTTTGGAAACAAAACCTGTGAAAGAACTCTGTGAACAACTACCAGCGTGTCCTTCAACCCTACGAAGCCCCAACGTGCTTGCAGTATGTCCCTCGCCTCTGTCGCCTCCAGACAGTCCCTCTTCTCCTCCAACGCCCTTACGTCCTGCCTCACCTGGAGCTCCATCAGAGGCTCCCTCAGAATTGTCACAAGCTCCATCCGAAGTGTCAGCCGTGTCGCCTGACGACTCCGAACGCAGACGTCGGGAGCTCCTAGACAAGACCAGAAGAGATCTACTTGCCTGGCATGTACAATATCAACAACTGTAGCTTAAGAAAACCGCAGACCAGGGACGGCGAAGTTCTTTGTATTATTCTTCCCACATCAGTCAGCCTCCTTGTATTAGAGTTCAGAACTTCATATAAGTCCGACTCAGCAACAGCCAAAATCTCTCAATTTATCTCTATTCTTTCGTCGGTCTCAAAGGAGTTCGACAGAGGATGTTTTCAATATTTTTGATAGAGATTGTGTAAATCACTTCCGTGTCTCCAAATGCCTTGAGCCGAATGTACTGTCAGCATTCTTACTTACCAACTGCTCCTCATTGTATTGCCGGACCGTTTGATTACCTGCCAAACTGTGCGCATTTTCTTCGGGATTATCCTCGTTCAGCTGGTCCTAAGATCGAAGGACTTACCGATGTATTCCGGAAGGCTTTGATTACAAATAGAAAACCTCTTCAGCGTTACATTCTGCAACAATAGTTCAACTGGAACAAATTCTTTAGAAATTGAATTCAACAACGCTGGAAGTGCATTTGAGATTTCAGAACTAACGTATTGAAAGTAAGCGCCTCGCAGTGTAGTTGGCCCGTCTTCATCAACAGCGTGGTAACTTTAATCTTGAGTCGACCACTTCTCTCACCACCTGAAGAGAAGATGATACGAACTTGTCTGAAGGGGCGCAATGTCTAGACTTGTGCGCCATTCCGCTGGGGCCTTCAGTGTAGATTCGCAGTGCGCTTCCCAGTAGAAGTCAGGTCTGATGCCATCGGACCTTTAGTATCTCATAGTTTGATGAAAGGATAAAAGATAAATTCATGTGGCAAAGCCACAAACATATATACACACCTATGACGGCACTCAGCCATCATAGTAATTATACTAACCTAAATTAGGGGAGTATATATACTCCCCTAATTACTGTGTATACAAGTATTGAATACATATTTTATACTAACACCCTCCTATAAGCTCAAGTCTTTGCTGGAGATGTACTAACCCTTCATTTTATCTATATCTAGACCATTTGATTTATGTACCAATGGTAGTCCAACATTCATTTGATGTGGATTCACAAAGTTGTAAAATAATCCTACTAATAACTCATATCACTAAATCTTCACTATATCATTAAATTTGTATTGTCCAATGATTTAGTCTTTAATTTGGACCATTGAGTCTTTTAATTGTATACCATATTTTTTTTATTGTTGAAGTTGTTATTTATTCTTCTTATTTTTGTGGGTCGTATTTGTTAGTCGCTTGTACTTTCTTGTTTTATCCTTGAGTTTGGTATTGTAGTTGTAATGCTTTGCATTCATGTGGATTCTTTAGAATACAATGACATGCATTATCATATCTTTGGTAATTAAGATAATCTTTTGTACACAAGCACTTAAATAATAATAGTTCTTCCTTAGCTAGTGGTGTGCTGCTATTTTTTAGGATATTATTTCTTTTTCTTTTAAATCCCTTGTTGGAGTATTTGTTGTATCCTTGTTATATGTTATTTTTTTTTTCAAGCACTTGTATTTAATACTTGTTTGTTGTGTTGTCTTGTATTGAATAGAAGAAGTATTCGACTTTGCCTATGTTTTGGAGTTTTACAATGTCTAAAGAGACTTCTCCGTTATGTTCCGTAATCCACTTTGTCAAGGTTGTGTTGTATTGCTGCTTTTTTATTTAGGTTTGAATGGAGTTGTTCATTCTATATTAATTCTTTTATTCCTATGTAATTTTTTAAATTCTTGAAACATAAACTCTCTCTCTTTATCTATTCTAAAAAATTGAGTGTATTGTTTAAATTTATTTTTTACATATTAGAAGAAGTTCTTAAATATATGAATGATTTTATCATTAGTTTTTAGAAAGTAAATACAAGTGTATCTTGAAAAATCATCAATAATTGTGAAAAAATATTTTGATCTTCCTAATGACTTTGTTATTGGTTTATATAAGTCATCTTGAATTAATAAAAAAAGTACTGGTATCCTAAATTGTCTTTTCATTATGAGTCTTATTAAGTGTATCTTACCAAGTTGACAACCTGAGGAAATTATTTTTATAGGTGTAAGATGAAAAATACCTTGAATATGAAGTCCATGGCTTAGATAAATGAAGTTTTGATAATTCAAATGATTTTCTAATGCTAGAGTTGTATAATACCTTCATTTGTATCCTCATTAGTGAGTAATATTTATTTATTATGCTTATATATGTCTTTAACTTGATACAGTCTATTGGGTATTTGTACCCATTTGACAATAATCTTAAAAGATGTTTTTTTTTTTTTTTTTTTTTTTTTATTACTATCATACAATATAAGTCATCAAAAAAGACCATGTTATCTTAGTCCAAATAATTCTTTTATTGACAATAAGTTGTGACTTAACCAAATTATATAATAATTATTATTATGTTATGTTATTTTTCTATCTATATTACAAAATTATATATTTTCTTTTGTTGTTATAGTATGTGACTGATCTCCTATAGATTTGATTGATGTAACATCATATATACTAATCATGTAGGAGAGATTGCTAAGGTGCTCAACATTATAATGGCTTGCACATGATTCTATGATCCAATTCTCTCTAGCTACTTCAGATGCAAATATAGCCAAAGCTGATTTAATTGCTTTATCTTCAAAAGTGAGAATTATTGAGTGTTAATTTTTCATAAATTTCTTTGCAAAGTGTGCTCCAAATATGCAATTTTCTTCTATTGATATGCAATTTTCTTCTATTGATATGTAATTTAATGTTATTGCAAAGTATACATGTTATGGTGCATTACAATTGCATATGATATGACATTTTTTTAAATAGTGATGGCAAATAATTTTGCTCACATTAAAAGGTGGAAAAAATAAAATAGTTTTAATATCTATTTAAGCTATTATGACATCTTTTTGTGAATTTTTCTTGTCCTTGGTTATTTTTAAGTATATTTTAAAAATATACTATATATATATATTTTTTCTTTCTATTATTTATTTCTTTCAAAGTCATTTTTTTTGCAAATAATAGACCATTGAGTTTATCTAGTTTCAAAAAATGTCATTTGTTTGAATAAATTCTCTAAACATATCAAATTTCTTTGATATGCTACAAAGGATCTTATTTATAATTGTAGATTCTTTTAGATACTCATTAATATTATATAGTTGATTTAATAGATAGTTGATTTGCTAAACGTAAGTTGTTACCATCATATTCTTTTCTATCTTCAGATTATTCTATTTATCTAATACCATCATATTACCTACTATTATTTTTGTATTAACTAAGATTTGTAGCTTAATTAATACTTCCAATGGATCTTATAATTCTTTCATGTATTCTTTAATAAGCTCTATCAAAGATAAATGTAATATTCTTAATACCTTGTATTCATTTCTTTTATATTCTTTTAGCTCAACAAGTTTAATAGGTTGATAGGAAGATAAGATATTTTTGGTGTTGATTCCACATCTTCATCAACTTTATGAGTGGGAGAAGAAAACTATTGTAAAGCTTTCATCTTTGACTTTAATCTCTAGGCCCTCTCTATAAATTAAGCTTTGACAATTTAATCCTTTGGATCTATTACATTAAAGAATTTATTTTTTTAAAAAGACATTTGTTATGACATCTTGCCATTTTGTATAGTTTAAAACAATAGTTAGCATTCATAATATAAAAATTACTCTATTCAGTTCTCTCATTTAAAATAATAAAATAGTTATTCATATAATCAAATATGTTTGGATAGACATTCTAAGCAAACCTATCAGATAAGACTAGTATCATAAAAAATAATTTTGGAACTAAGTTTAATAGAAGAAAAGAAATGAAACTTATCTCTAGATCAAAACTACTCTAATACCATGTTAGTATTTCATAGTGTAATGAAAGAATAAAAGATAATTTCATATAGCAATGCCATAAATATATATAGATAGCCATAACAATACTCAGCCAAATTTAATATTTTTTTTTTCCATTTGGACTTGGACTTGGTTCAACATATTTATGACTACATCTTTAAAGTATAGAAATATTAGAAATGAAGAGTAATTGCATAATTATATATTAAATAATAATAATATTTATATATAATATTTTAAATTTAAACAATATGGTTATAGATATATTTATTTAAATTATAATATATAACTATTTATATTTATATATTTTATTAATATATTATTTATATATAGAATTTTTTTATATTTTGATTAATATGTTAATTTTTGAGATTTAGATTTATTATCTTCATATTGCAACTCTCTCATTGTTGTGATGCAATAATAAAGGTGTAGAACTACAATAGTACTTATAATATTATATTCAAGTATTTATTTATTTATTTTTTTTTTGTTTTTTTGTTTTGTTTATTTTTAAGTAACCTAGCCTTGTGGTTGAATCCAATCTTGTTGACTAGAACCTTGTTGCATTTAAGTATCACAAATAAAATAATTGGTGAATTTATCTTTGCAACCATGGAATTTAGATGTGAGACTTTATAAATCCAAAGATAGTTGAACCTATTATAATATATGAAAATTACAAAGATGAAACCTTATCAATGATTCAATATAAAAAGAACACTATTTTTAAGTCAAAGTAGAGCAATATGCTCCTTTGCACTCAAATCTAAAGATAACATATTTGTAGTGGTATTCCTTATTTGAATACTTATATTTAATTATTGTAATTTAATCTTTGTATTTTAATGTGATCTAATCAAGAACTTATACTTATCATTGTTTTTCACCATTTTCAAATATAATGTTGTAATCTCCAAATATACAATCTACTCCAATTGTGACTTCTCCTTCATGATGCAATAAAGGACAATCATCTTTTAGCAAAATATAAGAAACTACACAACCAATTGGATCAAGTCTATATTGTAAATAATCACCACCAACTAAGTCTTTTTTTGCTCAATTGGATGCATGATATGGTTTTTTTGCTCAAATTAGTACTTCAAGTCTTTAACAACCTCTATTTTATATAAGACATTAGTAGTCTTAGCAACTTTTAAAAGAAAAGGCCATTAAAAATGAAGCTATGGTTTTGCTCTAGCAACATTGAAGCTTATTAATTTGAAAAGATATGTCAATATTACTAAAATTGTGCATTGGATGAATTTTTATATATATTTAAAAGATGTTATAAAATTAATCTACTTTTATTTACTTCTATTTATTCATATTATCTAGATAATTATTTGAATAAATATATATGTCCATAATATTATCCCTCTTTCTCTTTCTCCCCTCTTTTCTAAACACAAGTTCCATAAGAAGCGAGAATCAC